GAAATTCTATGAAAGCGAAGGGGACACGTATGATGGAGTGAGCTTGAAGCGTTTCGTCATGCAGGTAAAACATAAAACGTTTTGTTTATAATATTATATAAAGATATAAACCTATTTAAATACAGTGATTATGTTCATTTATTATATATCAGATATCCATATAGAGTGATCAGATATTCTGTAAGGATAAATAGGGTCGTCCTGATTTTAAGAAAAAAATGATCTGATATTAATTAAAAGCCAATTAAAATGTCATATTTTTTGAAAATGCCCCACATAATTTGTTCTAATCTAGAATTACTATGAAATTAAAATAATGAAAAATTATATAATTTGATGATGTTTATATTAGTTGACTAGTTAACAAACATTATTTCTTGAGAAAACACTACCTAGTCATTTTTTAAAAATCATGAGTTTTCAAATAAGCATAATTTTTTTTTTTTTTTTTGGTTCATAACTAATTGTAAATAATATATTTTTAAATAGAAAATTCATTATGAATTTTTTGAAAATCTGATTGAGCCATTTATTATAATTTTTAATCACTACCTATAATAGTCACAACGCAATGGATGAGAATTTCTATACAAAGAATATTATATAATTATATGTGATTGTATATTCTACTCGTTCCTTTAAATATACAATATTTGTAACACGGTGTTAGTGATGTTACTGTATGATCAATGATCATTATTACATGTTTATTATATTATAATATATACGTTTGTGTGGTTCAAGTCTGTCCTGGGCAATATTGTGTCATTCCGTGTTCACGCGCCCAACAGCGGAGCGTTTTTGTTGGATATATTCGCCAATTCGGTGACGCCCAAGGAGTATTTAACTGGAGAGCCGATGAAATTTAAGAGCGTGTGCAAATTCAAAATAATTTGTGAAGAACTGCAAACCGTCATGGTGCCGTTACCGGACTGCGCTAGCGGTGAATGGGGTCCTACAAAAGCCACTCGTCTCTTTGGACTCATACCCATATCACACCAGGTATATAACGCGCGTACATACCTATATGCATGATTTTAATGATTGTTTGGTAGGTTTACATTATTTTGTAGGTTTCAATACTTATTGCGCTACAGTTTAATAGGTTTTTCAATTTGAACAAATGAATACTACAATATTACTGAAATATTACTGAAATATACTGAAATATATTTATCCTGAATTCCCTAATTAGAAGCATAATATTTTCATTAAACATTGAATATGTATAAATATAATTGATGAAATACATATACATTTTTTTTTTTTATTTATCATTAACATATAGTTTTTATAAGCGATGTGAAAATTTTAATTCATAACCAATTACAGATAATCTATCCTTTAAATTTTTTATTAATAAAAACTATTTATCCAATATCCAATATAAATGCATCAACATTTTTAAAAAAGTAATCTGTTTCCAATTATGAAATTTAAAAACAATATGTATAATGTATATGTTATGCACTTATGCATATTGTATAATATAAATGATTTTATTTTAATATATAAAATACCTAGAAATTCACTAAAATTTGATTTTATGATAATTAATTAAAAAATCTATAAGCCTATATACTAGAATTCGTGATGTAGACATGTAGTGTAGTTTCTTTAAAATATATTTATCAAATACAGAGTAATTTTTCAAACATGCTCACCTCTTCTCCCCCTTTTTTAATTATTAATTAATTAAAATCCTAATATTTAGAATTTTTAAAAATATCTATCAAATTTTGAAACAAGTATAGGTGCTTAGTTTTTTTTAGCGTATTAAAAAGTTGTACATATACTACTAATTACTATACTACACACACACACACACACACAAAATCACTATATATCAGTAAAAATGCAATTATTTATATTATAATCTTATCGTTTTCTGTGCGCAGGACCCATTAGTGTTCGCTGGCCGGGAGTTGGAAATACAGTTCCGAATGTCGAAGCCGCTAACGGATTTCATGGCCACGTTGCACAAAAACGGCGTGGAAGAGAAACGGCTGTCTAAATATATATCGCACACAATTGTGGACGATTTCATCACATTCCTGATCGGATTTCCAGAAGAGGGCCAATACGGTCTGGACGTGTACACGCGAGAAATATCGTCGCACAAGTCAGACGAGAACGGTCATCACAACCATCACCAGCACCAACACCGACTTGCCAACGGCAATGGCATCCACGGCGAAAAACACCTGCTCACCCATTGCTGCAAATATTTGATAAACAGTTCAAAACGAAATTAATATTACATTGATAAAAATGTTTATAATTTATCATCGTTTCTATACATAAGTATTTATGAACAATGCATTCCAGTACAATATTGTTGTAGGTATACATATATAATGTCTAGACACTTATACATGGTACAGTTTGATTTACATGACTGTATAATATGTAATACGTATATATATATATATACGCAAATATAGGGTACAAAAAATATTTCACGAATTTTAAAATAATATTTTTTTTTTTTTTTGTAAATCGTTATGTCCATTACATATTTATATTATTTACGCCGTGTATATATTTTTAACGCTAGACAAGAAAAAATAACGTAACATGATAATTAATGAGATTCTAGCTAACTAACTATAACATATTAATGTTAAATACTGAAAATATATATATTAATTATACATAATTATTTTTACTGTATAATAATAATAGTTTTAATACAAATAAGTACCATATAAACTGTGTAAGGATTTTTTATTTTTTCTATTTAATGTATAACACATCTGAGAAAATGTATGGCTCAAATTGACCTATTCACCTACCGTCAAGCGTAAAAGAAATTTTAGTGGGTGTTGAAAAACTAAACAAGTCCACATAAACTTTAAAAAGTGAAAATTTTATAAATTTTTAATTACAAAATGGTTTTGCAAATTTTCTTGAATTTGACGAATTTTGTCTAAATTTAACGTTAAATGCTTTTAAAAAATCTGTATGAAAACTTGTAAGGCACTTTATATTAAATTTTCAAGGTTTTTGTGACAGGTAAAAAATATTTTTAATAATATTATAAAGAAAAAAAAACTAAAACAAATTTCAAATTTCTATAAATTGCTCCAAGGGATTGAATTTTTTAAAAATTATGCCATTTATAGGAAATGAAATATAAACATTTGATAAAAATTTCAAATAACTATGGTTATTGGTTTTGAATTATTTTTGAGTTGATTATATTCATCGCACCAATCAGAATTTAAAATTATTTACAAGTTATAATGCAACAAAGGTTAGTAGTACGGAAGTTTACCAATTGCACTCTATACATTTTAAGACTGGTAGACCAATTATTCTCAAGAAATTTTACAATACCTAAGGAAAACTTATTAATTAGTTTTAATATTATATAATAAATTAATATACTAATCGATTTTCTTGTGTGTATAAATACATAAAATAATATAAATAAGTAAATAAAATTTTTTCTTCGTATTTAACAAGTTATGCTTTTTGACCGTCAACTATTCAAAATTAAAGTTATACCAATTACATTAATTTAATTCATATTTAAACTTTTTTACAATAATAATAACACAATGGTTTTAAAAATTCTTTTCTAGTAATTTCAATATTTGTCATTAATAAAGGTGATTATTAATTATTTTGTTAAATATGCTCGATTTGAAATATCTTGTTGTGCACTATACACTGCAATATACGTGCTAGTTTGTGTTTCGATGATTACTTTAACAAAAAAAAAATAAAAAAAAATTTGAATGGAAAGAATAAAAGTTTGAAGAAAATGAAGTGTGAAAAACTTCATAGGTACGCATTAGTTCTACGTTCAGAACTTATAAATTTAGATATCTATACAGTATCGGAGCCTGGAGATATCAGATAATGTAGAATTAGATGAAATTTAGTTTTCAACGATAGTCAGTGAATTTGGTAAGGTTTGAAGTAATTAGTTGAATTGTAATTATTTCTTCAGCAAACACATCTACCACTTCATCGTGTTCCGAAGTCGTGTAATCGAGAATTTAATCAAATACACCGTAATATAAATTTAACTAAATAAAAACTATAATAATACTATGCAATATATTATAATACGATCATGCGCCTTACCTGATTTGCAGTAGTGTATATGTTATGCTTGTCAAAAAAAGTAAGGCAACACGAATAAAAGTACCAAACTCTTTACACAGTTGAGTCCAAATAAAAAAATCACAGTGGTTACATTTTTTAAATGATCAAGTCCAGTTATCGTTTGCAAAATTTGGTGTTGAGAGGTGTTGCTCGAGTGATTAGTGCACATGCACTGACGAAAGAAATGACATAGTTAATCTAGCCAGAGAGGCTGGCAGCACCATCAAAGGCTTCTGCGTTTCCACGGAATACCAGCCCTACTATTATATAGCAGTACACAAGAAAGTCACACGTCTTATGTCTCATTGCCATCCACACGTGTCAATTTTTATGCGATCTTTATAATGCGTCCCTTTCATCAGTGATGAAAGAATTATATTGGAATTAACCATTATTTGCGTGCGACAACTTGACCGTTATTTAGCTATATACAATGATATTTCAGCATATCATTACAGTTTAGACTGTTTGAAGTTTATAACTTTGAATATTCCTCAAGCTCAACCAAGCTTGTGTGTTAAATGAAATAAACATCCTACTAGAAGTATTAAAGGCCAAATTTTTTCAGCTGCAAAATGTATATCTAGCCTAATTGTTCGAAATTGGCAATGACTATTTTGAGTTAAAATCAAGTTTGAACGTTGCACATATTTTACTAGTCGAAACTCGAAATACATATTCGTATGTACTTGATAACTTGTTTGACAATAAAAAAAAATATAGTGCCCATTTTTTAAACTATGTATTGTAAAAAGTTAATACAAATATGTAATGATGTGCTCTAAGCAATCATAGTTAAATATTTATATAATAAAATTATGACCTTTAACTATAAGTATTTTATCAATATGACAAATATCAAATATTTAATAACCTTTAGCTATAAGTCATCTATTAAGATAATAATGTAAAACAATAAAATGACCTATAGTCAGACAAAACACACACACAAGACACACGATATAAGAGGGCCGGTCACCAACGGTCAAGGCGGAGTGCTCTTCCGGTCTTTTTGTATAAATGATCATAAGCGAGTGTAAAAGACTACGCAGATCAGATATACAAAAAGACGTGTTAGTGTTAAAATAAATTTTATATTTATGTTAAAGTTAAATCTATTAAATAGTGTTAAAGAAAAACTATAATAAAGATAATAAGTGTATTTAAGTGAAAAAAGTCTTACATTTATTCAACGTGCACTGGTCACCTTATTCCACATTCAGAAAGAAATCATTGCCAAGAGAAGAAAGGTAATGTAATGATTTTATGATTGATCTAAAGGTGTATAATCAATAACCTCTGATAAATATTACCCCTTCATATACAACCTCCTTTTTAAATCATTACAAATATTTAGAACAAAATTCAAAAGTTACATCGACAATTATTTTGTCACAATTATAAAAAAAGTTTTAATTTGTTTTTGTATAAAAACTCAAAAACATATTAAATTCAAAAATTGTCGTTTAAAATAATAAATTCTCATCCTTGTATACATTTGTATCTAAATTACGTATTTAATACTGTATACACGTTGTCACATTATTGTTTGGTGATGGTGACTGTTAGTAATGTTTTTCTACGAGTACGATCAATGCTTCGTCGTATGAAATGTACCTACATCGTTTTATGTAAAATGTAACGTACTTGATTGCATTTGATTGCGAATTAATTTTTATTGTAGTGTTGTAACTTGTTCTGTTGCTTTTATTTTTAATGAATTAATAACAACTTGCAGTCTGTTAATATTTATATTTGCTTTATGCCTTTATGGTTATGACTTATGATTTAAGTTTGATTTTAAAAGCACCGTTTCACTCTCATCAGATAATAAATTCGAAGGATACGGTTTAACTGTTAACCTCCTTGTTAATTCTATTTTTAATTTAGTAGGTACATTTTTGAAACTTGAAATCTTTGAGAAGTAATAATGGTTAACCTTTTTCACTAAGAACTTGCTTAAAACAATCTATATTATAACGTCAAACAACTCAAACTAATATTAAACAATAAGATATAAAGTATCGGCTATCCTCAATGTATTATACTAATTAATGGTATAGTATATTGCGTGAAAAAAAAACAACTTGCAGGCTGATAAATATCTGACGATAATGAAAATTTGTTTTCATCTATCACTCAAATTCATACTTGCGTGATCAAATGTGCGTAATAATAATATTTCATAAGATTCTTCATATACCTACTCTGCCCTGCTAAGCAAAAGTGCCGTAAAACTCAATTTCTTATTTTTGAGAAAAATGAATGTTTGTTTTTTTAATTTTATTATAACTTTATTATTTGTTATCCCAATTAATTTAGTATAATTTACATATTCACCTTTATAGTTTTTTTTGACGAGGAATGCAATGAAATAATAAAATAAAACTTTTATCCATATGTTACATGAATAAAAGTTATTTTGATGTTATTACTTAGAGCCATAAGCCGTAAATATACCACTATTTACTAAATAAAAACGCCGTAAGTCAATTTTACGGCATTATTGCTTAATAATTATAATTGTCTATAGATATAATTACTTGAACTAATGGCCGTAAATAATTTTATATTTATAATGATAGATATAAGTATTGATAATGACATAATATTACATAAAATATAATAATTTTTAGTTATTGAAATAATTTTTCATATCAAATAGCATTTAAAAAAATTGTCAAAATTAAAATTACTAGCTTAGTTTAAATTATATTAACATATTTCTATTTTATATTAAAGTTTAAAAATGTACATTTTTAACTATGAACTGGTATATTTTCCCAAAACTGTTTCCTATTTTGTGGAATGACTTGTTTCAAATTGTTGAGAATGTCGTTTTTTTTTTCTACAGGAATTCCACAAGGTCCTTTTAATGGTTCAGGTCTAGCCATTCCGGACATTTTCATTACTTTTTTTTTTAAAAAATCTAGTTCTGAATATTCTTCTTCAAAATTACATTTTGTGTACAGAATAAATTTATCTCTGACAGCTTTTATAGACACGACATCTTTTAGTAAGACACGGTTTGTTGATTTACTTATTTTTTGTTGTGATTTATAATCTATCCATAAATAAAAATCAAAGTAATTCATAATTTTCAAATCTACTCTCGATTTATTTGCAGCTCCCACAGCTTTAACAAAATCTTCAAAGTCGTAAGTTTTTTTTTGGTGCTTAAGAGATTGTTCAACTTGATGATAAATAACAAATAATAATCAGAACAAAATAAAATTATTATCTTTACGTATTCCATACAACAAAATAATAAACTTTCCAAATAATAATGTAGATAACAATTTAGAAACTATTAATATATTATAATATAATAATGTAGATAACAATTTAGAAACTATTAATATATACAATGCCGTTACTTCAGAAAAAAAATTGAATTGCTAAGCAATAACGCCGCAACTTGGGGTAGAACATAGAAATATTAAGCAAAAATGCCGTATCTATCAAAATATTTACGGCGTTTATGCTTAGTAAATGTATGATACGGCGTTCTTACTTAGTAGTTCTAATTTTCTTCGTTACTTACGGCGTTTCTAAATAACGTTTTATGTGTTTGTAGCCTATTTAATGTGATTTTGGGGGTATTTTTTCTACAGAGAATGTGTAAAATGTGTTTACCGATCAGATGCCGTATCTATCTAATTTTTTTTTTTTTTCGAGTTACGGCACTTTTGCTTAGCAGGGCAGTACTGATATAAAATAAATTATAATCAGTCACTTAAACCAGGAATCTAGTGGTTCTCAATCTTTTTAGGACCGCGACCCAAATTATTTACCAAAAATCTATCGTGACCCCCATAATTTTAAATTTACAGAATCAAAAAAGTAATTTCAAAAGACAAATTTTTTTATTACTTATTTATTACTTTATAATAATAATAATAATTGTAATAAATAATAATATACTTATATTAATAATAATTTTAATAATATACTTATAATAATAATATAATACTCCTTCTTGTGACCCCCCCCCCCCAAAAAAAAAAAAAAATTGACTCGCGACCCACAGTTTGAAAAACGCTGCAGTAATCAATTATTTATCAATAAGTAAGTTTTTAATATATTATTTCATTTATTTGATCAATAATCAGTGACCATCCAATGATGTTTTAGGTTTCCTATTTTTGTACTGAAAACGAGAAAAATTAGACTTATTAGTCATATCGATTATTCTATAAGTTGAATAATACATAATTTACAAATATCATATGTTTGTCAAATGATTTAAACAACAAATTTAATATACAATAAAAATGCACTTAAATAACTATTATTTAATGTTAAGATTTAACAATAATAAAGCTATTATATAGCTAATAAGTAGGTACTTTGACATTGTCAACACCAACTATAAATTTTTTACCTATTGTACAAACCTAACTTTTACTTACCTACCTTATATAAACGAAGGAAAACAATAACAGTCATATTCCATAATAATTAGCATAAAACTAGTATACGAAGTCTTGGTTCGTTCAGTTCAATCTTGGGTCCAAATGAGGTGATACGATGATCGCTGTCTCCCGTATTTATTAATTTAATAACCGATGTAGGTAATAAATTATTCTCGCATCATATATATCTTGCTGTTAAAATTAATTTATAGTTAATAGCTATCATTATACCAACGCATTACGCCGACTATCCGTACTATCTAAATTCAATCGCCAATCGAGCTAGGGAATATTGTATTTTTAGTTTGTACTGTACATGCGAGGATTCTATTTTTAAAATACGTAAGTTAAATTCATATGAACATTAGCTTATTAAATATTAATACGGAATTTTGGACTGAATTAATGATTACACATTAACTATATTATTTAGGTCTTAGGATTTACCAAGCCTAGTCGTTCCTATTTTAAAATCTGAACGAAGCGATGAATGTATTGATTAGGTATACAATGAAATGTGTTTTTTTCTATTATTTATGCGTGAGACTGTAATTTAAAATATATAATACAAAAAAAAAAAATATACTTAAATTTCAACTTCAATATATTTTTACTAAGAAAGTGAATCTAGTGTTACATGAAGGGAGAGGTACGTGTATAATAAAGATTCAGGCATAATAGCACGATTTTTATGAGCATTATATAAGTTTCAATAAAAAAAAAAATTTAATTGGTGTGGGGGAACTAAACTGCATTTATACCATAATATTTGTTACATTTTAATTCTGAAATGCTCTAGAAAAATAAGTATTTAAAATTTAATAAATAACAATAGTTCTTTTTATTTGTTAAGTTGATGAAATTAAATGCTAATATTAATATAATAGCTTAAAACTTAATTTGAACTGTATATTGGATAAACGAAAAAAAAGACGCGCAAAATTTATGATGGGCCAACGAAGATTTATAAAAATCGCTCTATGGCGTCCTAGTTTCCTAGTACACGATTCATCGTTGCGTTTAAAACGCACTTACACAATTATGAGTTTTGTGTCATGATGGTCGATTACTGCTTTGCATTTTTGTTATTACGGAATATATTATTTAGGTTAGGTTAGTAGGTAATTGGTAAGTCTTGATTCAACCACAATTTGGTTTTAAAAAATATAGAAAAAAGAGATATTGTCGCATTTGTTCTTAAGTTCCTTACGCATTAGGTAACGTTGGAATCCGATGTTTTGTATATTATTATGTATAACTTATTTTTTTATTCTTATAAATTTGTTTTTTTTTTTTTTAGTCGAAATCGCAATGGCAGCGTCCAACTTAAAACTCGTCCCTGAAATCTCGGGACAGGAATGTTCCAGTTCCGAAATCACGGACCGCGATTCGAGAATTGTCAAACAACTCGAGTTCTATTTCGGCGACACCAATTTGCCGTACGACAAGTTCTTGCAGGCTCGGATCAAGCTTGACAACGGTTGGGTGCCGATCAGAGTGTTGCTGACGTTCAAAATGTTAAAGTCCATCACCAGAAGCTCGGATGTGATCGCGTTAGCCGTCAAGAACGTTGCAGACAGTATCGTGGAAGTCGACGAAACAGACAAAAAGATCAGACGTAAACCTAAAATCGTCGCGCCCGTCCCTAAACGCAGTTTGTACAAGGAAATCGTCGAACGGACAATTTATTGCAGTGGTTTTCCGAGGACAGCCACCATGGACGAAATTTTGGAATTTGCCGAGACCTTTGGCGACAACGTCATTATGAAAACGACTCCTTTGAGATTTAAGTCCAAAGCGTTTAAGGGTTCCCTTTATTTTACGTTCATCTCTAAAAAAGAGGCTGAAAAGTTTTTAGATAGAGTATCTGTCGAATACAATGGTGTTGAAATAAAGCGTATGTGGGAGAGTGATTTTTTAGGAAATTACATAGCCCATAGCCCATTTAATTACGAGTAATATTTTTTATGTTTCAGTATCCACCAAACGCACAACATGTTATGTATATTGCATTATTAGAAAGGTTAATTAACTATGTTTATTTGTTACTATAATTCAATTTTTTTTAAACACTTATTTAATTAATGTTCACATTAACAAGAAAAACAGCCATAGACTATCAGTTATTTTAGTTTCATTATTTTTTATCCTATGTTATTAATTGTTATTATATTATGTAGTTATAAATATCTGATAACTATAAGTATAGCTAGATACAAATTTCATTAATACTATAATAACTATATACCTGTATCATATAAATATAAAATAATGTTTACAAATATAAATAATTATTAACAAATGTAAAATTATGTTTTTTTATTAAAATTTTTATGAATGAGTACTTTTTTCAAGAATGTTTTTAAAATTTATAAAGTTTATAACATAAACTCGTTTATTGTGAGTTATAGTAAAAATGCATACATTTTGAGTTGTTCATTGAATCATAATATACTTGTCAAACTAGTGTTAAACTTAAATTATATAAAGAACATTGTCTATATTCATTATTGTTTCATTTTAAAATGTTGGTGAAGTTTAGTTTTTTTATTGTATATTTGCATGTATTTGTTATAAATAGACTAATTTAAAAGGTATAAATAATAATTTAATAGCTCAATAATAATATTATATTATAATAGTTTGTAAATAGATTATAACAATACTTTCAAATGATTTAATGAACTTTTTTCAGTATTCAATATGTCTTATCTAACCAATTTCAAATTACAATACATAATTAATTGAAGAAAATTATAAAAAGATAAGTTGAAAATGTACTTGCAAATAGTTTATTTGGTTGAAATATTAGCTTATAAAATAACAGTAGAATATTAGAAACATATTAAATTAAAATATAATTATTTGGTGACTGTAATAGCATGTTCTTTAGTAAAGTGTTTAGCTTTGGATTCAAATGTCTCTTTATCGTTCTTAAATTCTTTTGCCTAAAAAATTAAAACACAAATAAAAGTTTATATCATAAAATAGACTTTGCAATGAAACAATGTATTTAATGTACATACAATATCCAGTACAAGTGGATCATTAGGATTTGGACAGTTCATTAGATTGCATATAGCAACCAATACACCTTCTATGTTTATCAATGGTTTCCATGCACCAGATGGAGGCATTTTCAAAATGTCCAAACAGATTCTGCCACTGCTGTCTATGTTTGGATGATAAACAGGTGTAATGAATGTCACTCTAGGAGGTTCAAATGGATATCTATTGTCACATCATTTAGTAAAAATGAATAAGTAAACAACATTTAGATATGATATTAACTAATAATTTCAAATTTACTTCACTGGCAATTCTATCTGCAATTTGAAAATTCCATTTTCATATGGAGAATCTTTAGGTCCATGAAGTTCTAAAACAGTTAAATATAATTTTTTTAATTCAACTTAACTGTAATTTTAGTTACATAATTAAATTATTTTAACCAGCTTCTAAAACGGATGTAGATCCTTCTTTTACGTTCACCTTCATTCCAAATGGAGGTTTGTTAAGTAATTGGCCAAGTTCTTTTTTCAAACGTGGCGTATTTAATAAACTAAAATAAAAAAAAAAAAGTAGTATACGATAAGAAATTTGACATCAACCTAAAAAAATTTCTTTTTTTTTTTTAATATTTTAGCAAAGTAAAACATTTTAAATACATATAACATAACCCGACTGGCACTATTATTCGTTTTTTATTTTTTGATAAGATATAAATTGACAATTGCAGTTTAATTTTAGTTTTAAAAAAATATGATTCATAGAACCAGTGTCAGATAAGTATGGTATTGGATTATAGAATTTTTAATGTTTAAATACAGTCTAAGTCAGAGGTTCTCAACCTTTTTTGACTCACGGCACCCTTAATCATTTTCTACAAATCCAGAGGCACCCTATATTATACTATATTATAGGGTTAGATTTAGTAATCTATAGGGCCTATAAACTACTTCAGTTTTATTCAGCAGTGCATAAGTATAAACAAAAGTAGAAAGACATAGTATATAGTAATATTTGTATATAGTATATACAAATATTTTATTTTATTTTATTATTATTTTCATAAAATCGTTTTTTTCTTAAAAAATATATTTCAAATAATTTCGCGGAACCCTAAATAAAGTTTGCGGCACCCTGGTTGGGAATCTATGGTCTAAGCTACTGTACGGTTTAATAATTTCATTCAATATTTTCTTATGTTTTGTCTAATTTAACATCATAAAAGAATTTAAATAATAACCAAACACGCATAAACAGCCCTAGATTTTTTTTGGTAGCTCACCGACTCAATCAGAACTTGTATAGAACTACCTATTTTAACTGTAATAATTAATTTTAAATATTACAAATAATTATATTTTCTAATTATTTCTATACTACATAGCAATAACTGATAAATGGGATCTAAGAGACAAAGAGATTATTAATCGTTCAATGCACTTCTTAATTATTCAGTTTTAGTTGTAATTTTTAAAATAACTATTTTAATCGATCTTAGAGGATAATAAATAAGATGGTTCTCTATTATTTCTATTCTATAAAAATTTATTTTTTTTTTTTTTTTTGATCTTGTCTACATAATGCTTAATTATACATTTTATACATTAAACAATATACTTTAAAAACAACAAAATTAAGTTATATACAGACATAAAAACTAGTTATGGTTATATAATATCTATAAATTCTTACTTCATATTTGAATGACAAACTTCGACCGTTACGACTAACAAAATTCAAATCACAAAAATGAGTAGGTAATCGATAATAATACTAACATCAAATAATAAATATCTTTGTCACTTATAAGTTAATAATTTATTTAGCGATAAAGCCACAAAATACAGAATAGATAAAGTGTCTCTGAAGACTGAAAGTAATGTATCTTGCGTGATTATTAATTAACTGTGCCGTAGACATACTATAATTATTCACAAACAGTCATATTAATAATTCTATTTTCATATGAAATCATAATATTATTATTGTCTGTGGTTTGTTATCTAAAACTTTGTTTTTTTTAATATTGTTAACACTTATCAGTTATCAGTTTAATATTTTCTACTTTTGATTGTATAAATATTAACTATTAAGTATTAAGTATAAAATTATATGAAGAAAAGTCTCTTTTTATATGTATGGACTATGGAGTTATAGTTGATTATAGTTGAAGAACGAATATCTGAATCATGTGAATCGATAACATTAATTAAAAAATTACAGTATTTTCTAGATTCAAGTCAACAAAAGAAGATAAATACATCAACTAAAGAAAATAAATCTATTGAGACCAAATTAAATATGGTTGACAAATGTATTTGTAATGAAGTTCATACTAATGATTAGGGTACACATATTATATCAATTAATATAGAAACAAATAAAAGTACATCAGAAGAATTATTAAAAATTCCACTGTTGATTGAAATAATTTATAATGTTTTTAAAACAAAAAGAATTGTCACATTTTATAACAAAACTGCTATAATTAATTATGAAAGAAATTCAGGTTTATTTTCTTCACCTTGTTCATCTTCGGGATACATTTAATAGATAATAAAATAAGGACATCATTTTTCAAAATTGAAGATAAAGAATCTCCAATATTTCAAATTGATAAATAATTGTGTAATACTCCAGTAAAAAAACAAACCAAAAATAAATATTGAGTCAATACCACAATTTAGTCCAAAAAATATTCATACTGTAATTACTGTGTATGTATCAATATTATAAATATTTATGATAATTTTAATTTATGTTTAAAATCGATACCAAATTTGAACAAATAATTTGTGACAACTTTAAAAAAATCTCATGTTTAAAAAAATAGATAATAAAAACTAAAATTACAGGTAGTGATGATATGTTCTTAATATTATTCCTTTAAATTTAAACTTGTATAGTTAATATATTATACAACTTTTATGCATAATACTTAAAGACTTTATTTTATAGTATTTAGACAAAATATCAAAAAGTTCCAGAAGCAACATCACTTGATTTTATGCTTAGATTCTCTAAAGAAGATGTAATAAAGGATGGATCAGTTGTTATTGATACTGGTGAATTAATTGATACATTTTTGAATTACCAAAGTTTGTCAGAAAAAAATACTGATACTATAAATAAATACTTTGTAGTTCAAAAAAAAACTTATAATATATTAGAAGGAATTTTAGATCCTTCTACTCTTGAAAAAGCGTCTCAGTCTGATACTCTGATCAACAAATAAAAAGTATATTGGATGAGTTTCTAAATATGTTTCCTGTTAAAATCTGTAAAAAATTTACTAATAAATACATAAAAGATTTTGAAATACTTATTTTTCAATAAATATTTTATTTGAATTGTTTAAATGCATTTATAGATCTTATAAATTTAGATAACTTTTAGATACCTAACAAAACATATTTTTTATTTTATAATTACATTTTTTAAATTGTCAATAATATTAAAATTTGGGAAAACATCAATGAATATCCATGTGTTATATTAGTAGGTATTTAAAATATTTTAGAATTAAAGCAAAGATTTTTAAATAAATATTAGTTAGGTATAATAGAAAAATTATGATTTTATAGCCTTTCACAGGCATAGTCATCATGATATAAATTATTTAATATACCTATAATTAACTGTATAAAATTAAATATAAATTAATTATTAATATATTATTTTTTTATAACTATCCAGATACTATTTATAAATTTTATAACTATTTATTCAAAATGTATCATTAATGTTTGATGTAAATAAGTTTTTTTATAAATTTCAATTATAAATGTTGAAAATGCTGAAGTTGGTATAAAAGTATATGCTAATGATCATCTAGGCTCAATCAAATTGCGTTTACATAGTGTCAAGAAAAAAGGTATGTAAAAAAACTAATTTTCAATGAATGTGTTCATTCATCGATTTAACAGATTTTAAATATTTAATATAGATGTCTAACGATGTACCAATCAAATTAAAAAAGAATAATTTTAATATACAAAAATATATCGGTAACGATTAGATTATGAAGAATGCATAAAAGTTGACAATAATATTTTATTGGCACATGAAGGTAACAACAGTTTTTAAAAATTATGATTTGTTATCAAATCAATTAGTTCTATGTACTATCAAGTGTGATTCCTATAACTTTGACTCAAGTAAAATAGAACCTGGTATACTTTATACAATTGAATAAAATGAATAAATTGTTTTAATATGATTTATTTTATTTGTTTATACAATCTTTATTCATTTGCTATAATAGTGTTTAAGTAAATTCTTATAAAATTGTATTTATTAATGTTTAAAAGTTACTGTACTCTTAATTTCATAAAAATAGTAAAAACTTTAGGTATACAATTTAGTTTGTTAAGACATATTGATCAAAGTAGAATATAATATTATACCTATTAAGTTCATACTTAAATAACATAAATTTATTAAGAGTGTTAATCAAAATTTAATATCTAAATATATTTTTAAGAACTATATTTAAGTATCCGATGAATTAGTTAACAGTGAATTTTATAAGTTTAACTTCATAAAAATGTTATATTAAACTTGATGTTACTGCTATTATTAATGCTATCTTTTTTTTTATATTTTTATGAGGGCTTTGTTTTTTTTAGAAGAAGAAGATGAAAATTATTTATCCAAAGCAAACTATATGAATATTGCTCCAAAAATAACTCCTGTCTTGAAAATTCATCAAGGTATGTACAATGTGTTAGTAAAAATATTGATGAAATTATGTTAATAATTTAGTCCTTAAATTTAAATGATGATTTATAAATGTTAGGTATATATATAAATTATTATTTGTATTTTGTTTAATAAATTTGATCAGAATTATAGCTAAATGTATAAAATAGTAAAAATAATTACCACCATTTTTATCAAACTACATTTGAATTACCTGTGTTATTTCATTGAAATTTGTTTAGGTCTTAACAAATAGTTACAAACTGTGCTAGATAAAGATCATTTTACGAATAACTTATTTTTATAAGTTAATTTAATGTTATAATCAGTGTTGGGAATAAATGAATAATAATTAATCTAGATAAATATCATATAATTTCATCAATTTTGCAAGTATTCAGTGATATGATACAGGTATTAGGTAAAAAAATATATCATTTAAAACATTTTAAATATAAACATAAAATAAAATTGTTTATTCATTAGAACATATGAAAAGCCATTCTCTGATTTAACAATACAATAAAAGCTTAAATTTAAAAAATAAAAAAAGTTAACTTTTGAATATACTTCATAAGAAAATAACAAGTCGATCTCTGAGTTAATAATAAAAATAATTTACATTTAAAAAAAAAAAATAATATTTTTATTTTTAATTTCTTTTTAGCCCATAAAATTAAATTATCTAGATAGGTACGCATAGATAACTAAAATTTTATCTAGATGAAGATAAATATAAATGAGTTGAGAATTATCTAGATAAGATAAAAGATAAATCAATTCTATCTAGATAATTTATTTAGATATTTCCCAACACTGGTTATAATCATTACATTCCTAGGTAATGGGAACATAAACTAGTACAAATAAGGGATATGATTTAAATAATGTGTAAAACCTTAAAATAATAATTTAGATAAAAATGTTTTAATAGAGACAAATTTGTTTTACACAACTTAACTTATAAATAACAATACAAATACAATTACTAATAGATATTGTAATAATAGTTTTTATTTTTAGTTCTTGAAGAAAAAAAATGCATTAGAAGTTCCTGGTATAAGAAGCAAATTTGGGAAAACAAATATAATTTCTAAACAGCTTCTTACTTAGACTTTTAAATCAATTATTATTGAAGTTCCTAATCAAAATTCATTTGAAACTCAAGAAAAAATTCATATTGAGAATAATATTACCATCAGATTACCCGAATGAATGATGCGATTCTTCACAATATACTAGACGATAACCTCAAACCTCCTCCAAACAAAAATATTAGTACACTTCATAGAAGAAACACTTATGAAAGATATTTAGATTTTATTACTTCATAGCCTAAAAGTATGTTTCAAAATCAGCCTCATTCAAAACTTTTCTGTAATACCCTCATATTTGAAAAATGTTTGGAAGAATCTTTGTCTAGTCTTTTATCAATACTACAAGCTGATTGGGGACTAGTTAATGGATTTGAATAAATTGTTTGAAAAGAAAATATTAAACACAGAGGGATCCAGATATTAGAGAAATGGTGAAGACTAGAATTTTAACATCAGATGGCGATGGAAGAAAAACAACAAAAAAGAAAACTCTAAGGAAAAAAATTAAACCGGTCATTGAGCATAATAATTCTATAGTTTTGACTGAAGAAAAAAAGAAATCAAGTAATCATATAATTATTACAAATGAATTATATACTGATTAATTAAGTATTTCTGAAATTACATGTGGTGCTTTAAATGAAAATGACTTGATGGTAAAGCGCCATTCAAGAAGCAGACAAAATTTCCTATTTCATAAGAAAATTCAAATAATGTTATAGAATTATAAAGTAAACCACAAATTAAATCAAATTCTTTAAATAGGTACATTAAATGATCTAAAATCAATGAAACAATTGAGTGAATTTCCTATATCATTGAAAACTTCAAAAGCAATAACTGAATTGTATAATGATCAAGCATTAACTGTTATATTTAGTGCATTAATAAATATCAACAATAAAAAATTCTTAAAAACACAGTCAATTTATAAAAAACAGATAAGATAACTAAGCTTAACAATGAACAACTTCCTATCAAATCTGATTCCTCAAAAAACCAATGGGGTATAACCCAAATCCACCTAGGACAGACTCATTATTATATTAATGAACAGAAAAATAAAAAAAATCAATTAAATAAGTTAAGTAGGTACTCAAAAATGTTTAATGCAGATAGATCTAATGAGAATATTTCAACAAGTTATTCTAGTAATCAAAAAAAATCT